TACGGCAGAAAGGGATCTAGGGGTTATAGTGGACCACAAGTTGAATATGAGTCAGCAGTGTGATGCCGTTGCAAAGAAAGCAAACATGATTCTGGGATGCATTAACAGGTGTGCTGTGAGCAAGACACGAGAAGTCATTCTTCCGCTCTACTCTGTGCTGGTTAGGCCTCAGTTGGAGTACTGTGTTCAGTTCTGGGCACCGCATTTCAAGAAAGAGGTGGAGAAATTGGAGAAGGTCCAAAGAAGAGCAACGAGAATGATTAAAGGTCTAGAGAACATGACCTATTAGGGAAGGCTGAAGGAATTAGGTTTGTTTAGTTTAGAAAAGAGAAGATTGAGGGGGGATATGATGGCAGTTTTCAGATATCTAAGAGGGTGTCATAAGGAGGAGGAAGAAAACTTGTTCATCTTGGCCTCTGGGGATAGAACAAGAAGCAATGGGCTTAGACATTTATCTAACCTACTCTTAAATATCTCCACAGATGGAGATTCCACAACCTCCCTGGGCAATTTATTCCAGTGTTTGACCACCCTGACAGTTAGGAACTTTTTCCTAATGTCCAACCTAAATTGCAGCAAGGGAGGTTTAGGTTGGACATTAGGAAAAAGTTCCTAACTGTCAGGGTAGTCAAACACTGGAATAAATTGCCCAGGGAGGTTGTGGAATCCCCATCTGTGGAGATATTTAAGAGTAGGTTAGATAAATGTCTATCAGGGATGGTCTAGACAGTATTTGGTCCTGCCATGAGAGCAGGGGACTGGACTTGATGACCTCTTGAGGTCCCTTCCAGTCCTAGTATTCTATGATTCTATTGAAAAAGTTCAGTGTAAAGTCATTACAGGGCAAGAACTTCCCACTGTGCACACACCCTGCCAAGAGAGGATTCTGTTGAGAGAAGGATTTATGCATGACTACACTGAACAATAAATCTATTGAATGCCAACATTTGGAAAGCAACAACATTCAGGCCACAGAGGAATTCTGTAAAATGATACAAGAAGAGGGACGCAAGATTAAATTTAGGAAAGAGCAATTTAAGCTAAATGTCAAGAGAAGCCTGATGACAAAAAGGGCCCTATGGTATTTTATGAGTCTCCAGAAGTAAACTACATTGGCAGGAATAGCTTCTAAGCAATCTGTTTATACAGTGCTCATCACCATGGTAATCGGCTTCCTAAGAGTGTCTCTCTCCTGCAGAGTTGAATTGAGTTATTTGCACTCTGTCCCCTCCCGTGCCTAGGGTGAAGTAGAATAGCCAAGTCTGCAAAGCAACACTTGAGCTGCACAGTGTGGCTGGCTTATAGTAACAGCATAGCACAAGGGTGGGCAATAAGTGGCTGGAGGTGGTTCGCCAGGGTTAGCCCCGACAGGCCGCCGGTGCTTTATTTACCTGCATGTCCATAGGTACGGCTGCTTGCCACTCCTGTTGGCTGCAGATCACTGTTCCCGGTCAATTGGAGGTGCAGGAAGCAGTGACCCTATCCATGCTACTTCCTGCAGCTCCCATTGGTCAGGAACAGCCACCCGTGGTCAGTGGGAGCTGTAAGCAGCAATACCTGCTGAGGGCCCACTAAAGGCTAACCCTGCGGAACTGCCTCCAGCCCATGGGAGGCTTATTGGCCACCCCTTATGTAGCAACATCCCCACTGCATTATGTGCTTGAGCATGAACCTAAGCTCCCAGATGAGCCAGCTATCTCAAGTGTAAAGCACCACTTCTGAGCCAGAGATGTGTGTGTGTGTGAGGGTGGGAGCTGGGTTATATAATTTAAGTTATATCTTGTGCTAACACAGCAGCGAGGACAAGATAAAAATGAGCTCTGAGAAAGCACCAGAAAAATGTCTGGTAGGAAAGATTCTCTGCTGGCAAGGGAAGAGCTAGGTATCATCCTACAGGACTGTCTCAGGCAAGCATGATTCTGGCTTGTTTTTAACACCACCACTTTCCCATCATTCTTCCTGTGCTTCACAGCCCACAAAGCCTTGCGAAGCAGCCAGCACTGTACCTTTGAAAGCGATCCCTGCGTTGTTAACCAGCACATTCAGCCCCCCGTATTTCTCCTTCAGGAAGTTCCGCAGAGTCCGGATACTCTGCATATCGTTGATGTCCAGCTGGTGGAAAAGCGGACGCAGTCCTTCCTCCTGCAGGTTTGCCACTGCAGCCTGACCCAATCCTGGGTCACGGGCTGTCAGGTACACATCCCCAGTGAACTGCTTACACAGAGCCCGCACAATAGCAAAGCCAATCCCTTTGTTGGCCCCAGTCACCACAGCTACTGGGGTGCTGGACATCTTCTTGGGCTAGTAGATGGCAAAATAAGCTCCCTGCAACAGGCAAAAGGATATAGCTGGATATATTTGCTCATTGTGACTAAGCACACCTTCCCGCACGCTCTCTAAGCCATTTTCCTGCAAACATACATTTCTCACTAGTTCCCAATCCAAAAAATAATTGGGCAAAAGAGAAATTGTTCTCGTTTTTCAGCAACTGATCTGTACGTATCCAGCTGCTCTCTTCTTCACGTGCTTTGCAAATGAAGTCTCCATCAGCAACAGAAGACACAGGGCAGGTTTTAGGGCTGACCCACCCAGTTTGCCCTGGGGCAGTGCAGAGATGTACATTGCTAGCTGAGAGTCAGAAGCTGCCCCTAGTGGGCAAGGGAGCATCATATGTGTAGAGGGGCACCCAGATTTCTCACTGCTTTCCTCCCCAGAAAACATGGCGGAGGGGCAAGAGATGGCTCTCAGATACTTCCCACCTCCCACAATGTTCCTCTGCATGCCTGTCCCAGGGGGCAGTAAAGAATAGAGAAAAGCAAGGAGCAACACCAACCTACTTTCCCCATTTGGGCTGCTGCTCTTCTGTGTCCCCTTATGCAGCTTAGGCAGGAAAAATTACCTGAACATAGCCCAGGAAGCTGACTTCATTCATGCCCCTCCTTTCCCCACACAGCACGGTAGGGCACACAGAGCAACAAATGGGAGAGAGGGAGGGGAAGTGAACAGCATTTGCAGCTGTTCCATGCATCCAGGTAATTTCCTCGTGTGCAGGAATCAGAGGTGAATGAGGCACAGTGCAAGAGAGGGAATGTGGCAGGGATGAGGGGCAAAAGGAGGGGATGGGGGAACTCAGAAGATAATGAGAGGACACCATGCTGCCCACAGGACTAGGGGTACCAAAATACAAGTTAACCCAAGCACTATTTTCCCTAAGGAAAGGTCCTGCACAAGGACTGAGCTCTGATCTGCCCCCCAAGCAGGCGCAGGCTGCAAGGAACGCTTTGCACAGGCTGCCCCGGGGGTTTGGCTGGGAGGGGAGAGGGTGTTAGGGTAAAGAAATCAATTTGCAGACTCACCTCTGGCACTGCGTAGCGCTCAGCCTCGGGCTCCTGCTCTCAGCTCCAATGACCGCATCAGTCCAGCAGGGCTGATCCAAGGGGCTTGTTTTCCTTCACTGCCCAATGAGGTGAAGCAGATACCGACCCTTCTCCAGCCGGGGAGACCAGAGCGAGCGAGAGGCGGAGCTACGTGTCTTTACTGGTCGGCTGCAGCTCCTCCCAGTAGGGAGGCCGATGTGGGGGGAGGAGGAAGTAAGACACGCGGCTGCGCTGCAGCTTTGTCTGGGGTCTGAGCAAGGGCTGCTGGGGCCTGCTTGACTTGGGTGTAAGGGAGGTTTTTTTGCTTTACCGCTCCAGCTGTGCGAGATCGGGAGCTGTAACCAAACGCCTGTGTTGTCAGTAGGGTTATTTGTAGACATGAGCGGGTAGGTTTCCTCTTAGAGCTGGTTTTTGATTGCATCGCTGGGAAGAGGCAGAAAATGTAGCCGGGGGACGCCAGCCAGCAGCGGAGCTGTAGGCACAGCGGGCTGGGCTCGGCTCCCGGGGAGCGGTAGAGGCTTTTGTTCTTTATTTCACTGATTGCGCAGGGAACTCCAGGGTGCTATGCGCAAGACACGTGCACGGTTGTGCTTTTTTATGGTCCCTCCATTCCGTGTGCTATTGATAACGCCACCGGGGCTATTAGAGCTCTAGCCCTTTTCCTAACAAGTGGCCCAAGGGAAGGGAGCAGCCAGGCAGATACAGCGCGCACTCTTAGGGTGTGTCTAGACTACAGGGTTTTTTTTTTTTTTTTTTGGTAAAGTGGTATTTTTTCAAAAAAAAAACCCTGTACCTGCGTCTAGACTACTAACGCGTTCTGTCAACAGTAAATCAAAAGGTGGCGGTGGTTTTGTTGACGGCGGTAAACCTCATTCTACAAGGAAGAACGCCTTTTTTCGAAAGTCAAGGTGCTATTTGCATGAAAACAGGGCTTTTTTGAAAGGGAGTGTCTAGGCCCGTGGTCACCAACCAGTAGATCGCGATCTACCGGTAGATCTCGGGCTCTAAGAGTAGCTCTTGAGCCCTCTCTGAACTGCGCACCTGCGCAGTACATTTACATTAGATTTCCTCATGTAATGTAGGCGGGGCTTCAAGGAAGGGGCGGGGCAGTAGATCTTCGCCTGTTCTGAGACTTAAAAAGTGATCTTGGGTGTAAAAAGGTTGGAGACCACTGGCTAGGCTCTTTTGAAAAAGCAAGCTGCTTTTTTGAAAAATCTTGTTGTCTACATGCTCTTTTTTGAAAGAGATTTTTCAAGAGATACTTTTGAAAGAGGCTTGCAGTCTAGACATAGCCTTACAGCTGTAGAGGTGTGGTAGCTTTTGTAGAATCGCATGGTTCACGTATGTCTTAGATAATCATCTTCTCCTCTAAAAAGATGATATGCCCTGGAAACGTGGTGCTGGAAGTAGGGGTGCTGGGCAGTAGCAGATTTAGGGCAGGGCAAGCGGGGCAGCTGCCCCGGGCCTCTGCTTCCCGAGGCCCCGCGCATGCACTGTAGCGCCGTGGCACATGTGCCGTGTCAAAGGAGGGGTCCCGCGGTGCTGCCCTGGGTCCCGCGGCACTCTCATCCGCCCCTGGTGCTGGGGGTGTGACAGTATCCTTGGCTTGAAGTGTCTTCCATCATACAGAATTTACAGTTTTCTTCCATGGTTCTCAGTATGCCCACTACGCACATGATTCTAATGCCAATGTCAGGGAAGTAGCAGTTGATATGTCATAATGTGTTTGGTGGTGATCCTGCACTCAGTAATGGTACACTGTACTTTCTTGATTGCCAGCTTGGAGAGCACTAATTTTGACAGTGAAAACTATTTTCTTATTTTGTTCTGGTGTTTTCTTTTTGAAGTATGACCTGCTCCCATTAACTTCTATACAGATTTTTTTTTTCTTTCACTTATAGTTAAGCTATGGTTCTGTTCAGGTAATGACAATATTGTCACGTGGCACTGGTTATTCCAGTAACAACCAAGGTAACCTATAAGACTTGCTTACAAGTAATTTAAGTTATACAAGTAGTCAAGTTAGACGTGTAATTTGACTACTTGAAAGTTATAACTATGTAGGCATAAAGTATTTTATAAGGGTGAGTCAATTATACATGTTATTGGAATAACATTTTTTTCTGTGTTGGTATGCTAATTCATTGACTAAATTATCTTTTACAGTTCATGGAATATTTATGTAAATTATGTGTTATGTTAATTCTTGTAAATGCAGTGATGGGGTAGCTGTATCAGTTCCTGGATATTAAAAAGTCAGAGGGGTGGGGTAATATTTGTTATTGAACCAATTTCTGTTGCAGTTTGAAGGCTTGTGTCTCCCATAGAAGTTGGTCCAATAAATGGATACTACCTCACCTACCATCTCTCCCATGCTTCTTAATGGAAAATAGTTATTTTAAGTGTTATAGCTTCGAATTTTATATTTGGGTTACATAATTCACTGTATCAGCATGCCTGCAAACTAATAGTATTTCTGTGTGGAAACTGAATTCTTTTTAAATGTAGAAATGAGAGCATCTCTGCTCTCCAAAGGCATAATGCCCAGTTCTTAGGTAAGGCAGCAGCTTGGGATGAAAGCTTTTTGCTTCCCTCTTCTCCTTTTGCATGTTCATTCACGTGCTTGCATGTCCTTTGTTTTCTGAGATGGAAAGCAGAAGCATTGTGAAGACCTTTAATTTCTTGTGTATATTTATAAATGTTTGGAGCAAGTAATCTTCTATATGCAGGAACTGAAAGAAATATCAAAAAAGAACTTGGCTGTTTTCCCACTTTTCATTCAGGTTATATACATAAGGTGAGGTCATTTCTTACCATGCAGAAAAATAGAGGCCGAACAGGTAGAAAGAGGCAAAGAAGAAAACAATATAGCAGTTTTTCTTCAAACAGAGGTACTATATATTTTAATCTTTTCTTCACTTGCATTCAGGGAAGCAACAGAATAATCAGTAACTTGGCATGGGATCTTTTGCTAGTCTGTGCATGGTAGAACTTCAACATGCCTTGACAAGAGTAATCAGATATCAGGCATTACATGCGAATAATCATTTTCTTTTCTGTTTTAAATATGCTTTAACTTAGTCTTCCTTAGTGCATGTTTAGTGTTGTGAGTTCTGTTTTCTGGTTGAATGATTATACTGTATTACTTTGAGTTCTCATATAACATGCTCATGCCGAGCAATTCCTGGGCATGCTGAATACTCTCAATTTCCACTGAAATTAAGGGTATTCAGTACCTAACAGAACTCATGCCTTTTTTTACTGTCTTATTATGTATCACGTTATAAAATAGGATTCTTATATATACACAGGATAGATATGTACTTCAGTAGTATTTCTCAACCAGGGGTATGCAGAGGTCTTCCAGGGGTACATCAGCTCATCCAGATTTGGGTGGGAAACCTATGGTCCAGAAACCCCGGAGATCTGGTGCCATGCGGAGCTGGGAGCTGTGAATGCCAGCTTTCCAGCATGGCCCCATGGCTCTTTGGTGGAGGGACAATCAGGGCAGCTTTACATGCTGTCCCTGCTCCCATTAGCTGGGAACTGCAGCCAGTGGGAGCTGGGGAGGGGGGGGGGAAGGAAGCCTGCACCGTGCAGAGCTGCCTGGCTCTTCTAACTAGACGGCGACATGGTGAGTGCTTCCTGGAGCAATGCAAAGCCAGGGCTGGCAGGGAGCCTGCTTTAACTCCTGCTCAATGACACAGCTGGGCTATCTGAAGTAAGCACCACTGCCAGAACCTGCCACTCTCACATCTCACCTTTTTCTGGTTGGAACCCTCTCTCACACCATTGCTCCTCCCAGACACCACACCCCAACCCCGAGCCTCTTCCCACACCCAAGGCCTCCAGGAGCCTGCACCTTGAACCTCCTCCTGCACCATGACCCCAGTTCCATCTGCTAGCTGGAGCCTGCGCTTCTCTGCATCTCAACCCCCTGTGCCAGAACTAAGTTCACTCCACACCTTGAACTCCTCATTTCTAGTCCCTCCCCAGAGCCTAGGGGAAGCCCTGAGCACTCCCCTCCCCTCCCCACCCCTTCCCCCACAGAACTGTGTGTGACCTGACTGATTGTTTTTTCCCCTGTGGGTCAATGGCCCCTGAAAGAAAAGAAAAAAAGATTCCCCACCCTGATCTAGATGTTTGCCTAGTTTTACAATAGGCTACATAAAAAGTTCTAGTAAAGTCAGTACAGGTTGACACTCTCTTAACTGGGATTCTCTGGTCCAGCAACATCCATAGTTTGGCATGGATGTTGCAGGACCAGAGAGTCCCAGTGGAGGGCGAACAACAGGGATACCGGTGGGGCCGGCACAGCAGTGGGCTGTCTGCAGGGAGCTGGTGGCAGAGCTGCCCAGTGTGTGGCAGTGGGGCTGCCCAGTAGGATTGGGAGACCTGGTGCATGGCTGCCCAGGGAGGCAGTGCATGCAGCTGCTTGGAGCTCCAGTGCCTGGCTGCCCAGCAGAGCCATGGCAGTTATGGCTGTCCAGTGGGTTGGCAGAGCAATGGGGCCAGCAGGAGGTGGGGAGCTGGCTGGGGGCCGGTGAAAGGGATCCAAAAGTGATCTCTCCTGGTCTGGCAGAACCCCTCATCTAGGACTGGTCAGGTCCCAAGGGTTCCAGACCAGGGAGATCAAAACTGTACAAGCTAAGATTTTGTAGAGATGATTTGACTATGTTATTCTATATGCTGAGATTAAATACAATATTTATATTCTGGTTGATTTATTTTATAATTATATGGTAAAAATTAGACACATTTCAGTCTCATTCAGGTATTTTGCTCTCTAATTTTGTAAGCATGTAATTTTTTAGTGAGGTGAACCTTGGAGGGAGGGGGGTAATGCATGATGAACCAGATTCCTGAAAGGGGTACAGTAGTCTGGAAATGGTGAGAGTCCGTGTAATACAGTACAAGTGTACTGTGTTTTTAATTAAACTATATTTTAATCACTCTTCCTCTTTATTTAGTAAACCAGAGTCACAAACTGGAATATATATGTCTTAAGAAGTGGCTGAAAGAAAGGGGGTTTAATGACAGTAATTTAATACCAGCACAATTTTCAGGTAATACTTTAATTGCTTATTGAGCCTAGCTTGTCTGGTTCTCACTGTGGTTTTATGCCCATCGGTCTGGTTGACTTTAGGAATGAGTCTTCAGTCTATAGACCTGCAGATAAGTCCCCAGTCCTTTACACAAATTCAGACCTGAGTAATTTCACTCACATGGGTAGACTCTGGCCTAGACATTATAAGCTGTTCCTTACAAGGGGATTCTTATGGCCCTGGTCTACACTAGGCATGTAAGTGAATAGTCAAAGTGAATACTCAACTACTCACTCTATACGAGAGGCAGCAAAGCAGGGAGAAAGAGGAGCTGGCGCTGAGGGGAGCTGGCTTAAAAACTACTTCCCCCTCAGCACGGTCTCCACGGTGCCGCATGCCCCTCCCCACCTCTATCTATTAGATAGAGGCAGCAGTGGGGAGGAGGGTGAAAGGGAGATTGCTGCAAAGCAGCCTCTGCTTACGGTGGGCAAAGGCTCATGGGGGGCGGGCAGAGGCTGCTCCGGTAGCAGTCCCTGTCTGGGGCCAGCCCCGGCTGCTGCAAACAGGCTGCTCCAGTAGCAGTCTCTCTTCATGGTGGCTAGGGCTGGCTGAGGACAGGGACTGCTGCTGGAGCAGCCTCTGCTTGTTGCCAGCCTAGGCCGCCGCAAATTGGTTGCTGGACCTGGCATGATCTGGGACTGACCAGTCCCAACTTGTGCCAGTCTGGGACTGCTGCAGCTTTGCCTTTTCAATGTAGTAAGATGCAGAGGTGCTGGGTCTGTGAGCTACCCCTGCTGCAGCCTTGCATTTTAATTGCCTGGCCCTTACTATATTTAAAATACAGACCTCAGTGGGGGTAGCTCACGGATCTGTCACGAGCTGGGTGCCTCTTACTACATTTAAAATGCAGAGTCACAGTGGTCCAGGCTCTGTTCTGGCTTGCACCGGTTCAGGACTTACCCCCACTACTGTTCTGCAATTTAAATGTAGTAGGATCTGGGCTGCCTGTGTACCCAGCTCCTACCATATTTAAACTGCAGAGCTCCAACAGGGGTAGCTCCTGGACTGACATGAGCCAGGACAGAGCACCATCCCTTCTCGACTAATCTTGTAATCGATACAAATTGTATCGACTACACAATTAGTCAGTCACCCACCTCTTAACTCCCTAGGGTAGACCAAGGGTGTTATTTCAAAATAAGGGGGGTTATTTTAAAATAACAAGCGGAGCATCCACACTACCAAGCCTGTTGTTTCAAAATAACAGGCTGGTTATTTTGAAATTTGTACTCTTCCTTTCCTGGGCGAATAAGCTTATTTCAAAAGTTATTTTGGGAGTTATTATTTTGAAATAAATCATTTCCTAGTGTAGACATGCCCATACTATTGCAAAGTGTCAGTGAAGCCAAAGGGGCTCTGTATGGGCACTGGAGTAGGCTCCTCTAGAACATCTTGCCAGATTGCTGTCCTAGGCATTAAAGGAGCTGCACATGTTTGTAAAATACTGTTACATAAGTGTTTGCACAATCAGGCCCTACGCTTATACCATTTCCTCATTCATTCTGGCAGATTTACTAAATACACTTATCAGCATGTAGGGATGGAATGCATTTCGTAACAAAAATAAATAGTTCAGATTTCAGTGGAATGTTTGCTGTTTGTGTCTGTAATAAAGATTTTAGAAGAACAAATATTACACAGTTAAATTATAAGGCAGCAGATAGCACAAAAACAACTGCAGAGATATTGTAGGTTGCTGATTAAAATACTCGTATAAGATAACTAGCAAGGAGTGAAAAGTGCAAGCAGGGGAGGGGGAAAAAGATGTGGGGGGGAAAAAGAACAAAACTGTGGGATGCAGGAAGATTATTGAAGTGTAAGGAGCTGCAGAAATGATGACCTTCATATGTGATAAGAGCATGGGAGATGGCAGAGAAGAGTGAAACTAGGAGAAAAAAAGAGTCCATATTCTTCAAAGGTATTTATGTGCTTCACTCCCATTTAAATCAGTAGGAGTTAGGTATCAAAATACCTTTTTGAGGCTCTGGGCCAAGATCTATACATAAACTGGAGGAAGCATAAAATGATTTTATGCTGTATAAGAAATGTTAATTTTCATGGAGCTTTCTTTTTCATACCAGTTATAATTTATAGTGTTTTGTGGTAGTCTCATGGAGAAGTCTTAAGACTGTGTACTGGATTGTAATCAGACTTTTTGTTCCTGTGCCATTTCAGATACAGGAAGAGGACTAATGAACACAAAAGCCTTTAAGGTTAGTGGCTGTTACATGGCTTTTACAGGAAATTCAGGTGGAGACATTCTAGACCCTAATCAGCATTGATCCTGAGAGAGCCTAAAAGTCTGGAGGGGAATTTAAGATGATCTAGTTTGTACTCCAGGTGTCCATGTGCATAATGGCTTTAATTATGTGCACCAATGTGGAGGTGATGTATCATGTAACAAAAGTCATTCTGCACATGGACACTGTGTGGCAGTGGTGAGGTTCAAGGGTTGAGGTGAGGGCGTTAAATGGGGGCTCTGGGCCTGGGCAGGTAGTTGGGGTGTGAGAGGAGGTAGGGGCTCAGGCTGGGGTGGGAGTGTGGCTGGGGATGGAGGGTTTGGAGTGTAGGAGAAGGCTTCAGGCTGGGAAGGTGAGGAGAGGGATTTGGAATACAGGAGGCTGCAGATTGAAGCAGGAAGTTGTGATGGAGGAGGGCTGAGGGCTCTGGGGTGGCTCTGGGGATCAGGGGTTTGAAGTACAAAAGGAGGCTTTGGGTTTAGGAAGGTTGTCGGGGGGGGTACGCCCCTGGCATGGGGTGCGCCCTCCTTCTAAAGTCCCGTTGCCCCCGTCCTGACCCCTCGATCAGGATATGCATGGTATTAACAGTCACAATACAAAGGCCCGGCCCCTCTATCAGGGCATATATGGTACTAACCATTCCAATATAAAGTCCTGGTCACTCAGGGCATATACGGTACTAACATTCACAATACAAAGTCCAGGCTCCCCTATCAGGGCATATATGGTACCTGAGGTCTAGCCCCGGGAAAAGCTTCTCCTGGCCGGGGGTGCTGACCCGGGTACGGAAAGGGGCGTTCGGGAGACCTGGGCCCTCCCTCTCCACCGGGTCCCAGCCCAGGGCCCTTTAGGCAGGGACTATTGCTCCTGCCTGCTCAGTGGGGAATCCGGCCGATACAACCGAGCTGTGATAGCAACCCCTTGCCCTGGGCTGCTTCCTATCCCCTGGCACCCCTATAGTCCGTCTGCCTCCGCGTTGGTCCTTACCGCGGCCGGGGTTGTAGGTGGTCCGGTCCCCCATGCGGAGTTGGCTGCTGGCTTCCCTCCCAGAGTCCAGTGCTGGCCCTCGCTCTGGCCTCAGCTGCTGCAGGAACACCAGGGTTGCTGCCTGTGCCCTTAAACCCTCCAGCTACCTCCTCTCCTGCCGGGCTCCCTCTGCCTTTATACTCTGGGTCTGCTGGAGCAGGCCCAGCAGGGCTGGAGGGGCGGGGCTTTTTCAGTCAGCTGGGTCTGGGCTACTCCCAGCCCTTCAGTGCGGGGCCTGTTCGCCCCATCACAGAGGGGCTCTGAGCAGGGGGTTAGGATGCAGGAAGGGGTACTGGGTCTGGACTGGGAGTGAGGACTTTGGGGTGGGGCCCAGGAAGAGGGAATTAGGGGTACTGGAGGGGGTTCAGGGTGGGGTAGGGGGTTGGAGCTTGGGCTTATTTGGGTGACTTCTGTGCTCCTGGGTGAGGTGTGGTGGTGGGGGGAGGAGGGAGGAAGAAATAAGGTTCTCTGGTACCTGCAGGTACCCTTTCCCCCACTTCCATTGGCCAGGAACCGGCCAGTGGGAGTGCAGAGCTAGTGCTCAAGGCCAGTGATTTGGGGCATTTCTCTGCACTTATGAATTGTGCATCCATCATAGGGATGTAAAGGACTAGTTGACTATCCAGTAGTTATTTGCTTATCGGATAGTCGACAAGATAGTTGACTAGTCGCTGCCCCTCCCCCTCCGCCAAGGAAGGGGGGGAAAAGGAGGGTACTTAAAAGCGGCAGCGCCGCATGGATCTCGGGATCAGATCCCAGGCTCCATGCTGCACTGCCGCTTTGAAATGCCACGCAGAGCCCAGGATCAGCTGGGGACTCTGGGCTCTGCGCGGCATTTCGAAGCAGCAGCGTCGCTTGGAGCCCGGGTTCAGCTGGCTCCGTGCCAAGTGTGCGCTGCCACTTTGAAATGCTAGGTGGAGCCTGGATCAGCTGGGGACTCCCCAGCTGACTCCGGTCTCCACGCAGGCACTTCTGCTTTGAAATGCACAAGAGCCCCCGTTAGGGCTCTTGTGCATTTCAAAGCAGAAGCACCCGTGTGTATTCTAGAATCAGTGGGACTCTGCGCTGGTCCTGGTCTCCATGGGTTGTTCCAACTTTGAAATACACAAGAGCCCCTGTCGAGGCTCTTGTACATTTCAAAGGTGGGATGCAGAAGTGCTTATCAACTAGTCGAGTAGTTGATGGAAGTTCTATCGACTACTGACTAATAAATTTAATTGCTAGTTAACATTTTTAATCCATCAATCTGACATGTAGTCTGTTTGATTTTTCTCAAAGGCAGGGGAACTGATTATTTCATTGCCGGAGAAATGCTTACTCACCACTGGTACTGTCCTTAGTAGCTACCTTGGGGAATACGTTGCAAAGTAAGTGTGTGGAGGAGAAAGAGAATCTTGTTAAATTCCTCTGGTGTTTATAGGGTGCTTGCACACTGCTAGGTGGTTCATTTGAACTAGGCTTGTGCAAAGCCTAATTCACACATGTAAGTGACCCAAGGAACCCTGGATGCCAACTGGAGTCACTAAAATAATGGCATCTCTAATGGTAACTTGCATATCACTGATGCTCATGATTATTGCAAAATGTATGTATAGATGTTGTGTAAGGAGTTGTGTGTTGGGAATTTTATCTTTCTGACTTCTGTGTATTTGTTATATTTTTAATAGATGGAAGCCTCCCATATCCCCTTTGATAGCTCTGTGCACATTTTTAATAGCAGAGAGACATGCTGGCGAGCAGTCTGCATGGAAGCCTTACATTGATGTTTTACCAAAGACCTATACCTGCCCTGTTTGCTTGGAGGAAGAAATAGTGAGACTTCTTCCTGAGCCCTTAAGAAGGAAGGCTCAGGAGCAAAGAACAGTGGTCCAGGAACTACATATTTCTTCCAAGACTTTTTTCTCTTCTCTGCAATCTTTGTTTACTGAGAATGTAGAAACTGTTTTTAACTACAATGCCCTGCAGTGGGCTTGGTGCACCATTAATACTAGAACAGTGTACATGAAGCATTCACAAAGGGAATGTTTCTCTAGAGAGCCTGATGTTTATGCATTAGCACCTTATTTAGATCTGCTAAACCACAGTCCAAATGTTCAGGTAAGAATCTGGAAAGCCATAACCATAGGTCTTTTTTTTTTTAATTATGTACTATGCACTTGCTCTGTGCAGAACCCATGTTCTTATCTACGAAGAATTAGGACCAAAGAGTTCTACTGAAGGGTTATGTCTGGTGTGTGTAGTGTATTGGACTGCTATAGGCTTGGAAGATCAGTGTTGGTGGCCTATCATGTAACCCAGAGGGAATTAATAAATAGAATTGATTGTTATGATTCAAGTGGCAAAATAGTGATGGGAAAAGATCACTGTACTGTGGTGGCCTCAAGGGTGCTCCCGCTCGGCCTCAAGGGATTAATGAGAGCCTGTGGGCACAATCGTCCTTACCCCACTACACATTTAGTATGTCAGATGTGGAGGAGGAGCTAAAAGGACCGAATCTGGCTTGGTTAGTGGCTGACCAGAAAGGAAAACTGATTTCTAGATCTTGCTCAGAGAATCCTGGCTGGAGACTAGGAGCTGGCACACACAGCTTCCCTAAAGGATGGTACCTCTGCAACCAGGAGACTCAGGCAGTTGAGAGAGAAAGTGTCCGGACATGAGTCCACCCAGGTTTCCCTCTGGGGGTGGAGGGTCCT